AGAGAGAGAGAGAGAGAGATGAGATCGTATGAGAAAATGTCACATTAAAAGAAAATAAAAATGAATCATAGTCATTTGATGTGATTTATCAATGCTCTAGACGCGGTCAAAGGGTCCAGCTTTAGTCAAACATACGGGGCATTCAGTAAATAAGTGGACTTTTGATTTTTTTCGATGATTGCGCAAAATCCACTGTTGCATAAAGTGCAATATCACATGCACTAATAGGACTGGGCACGGTTCGGATACTCGAATTTTTTGCCCAGTCCTATGCACTAAAGTGCAGCTTGTCTAACAACACGGTGCACTCTGGATAGTGCTATTTTTAATGTGGAATTTCGAACATGATATAGTGCAATGTGATGTGCATTAAGGTACAATTATTTAATAAGTTTTCTTTATTTTAGGCAAAATTATATGTTTGCTGATCCGTAAGATAAATATTAGCATATTTATATTGTTGAGAAAATATTTGCATCTTTACGAAATTACGCAATTTAATTAAGGATTTACTATCTAATTAAATGGTGGCTTAAAAATGGTGTAATTCCCTTCTCTCGTAAGTCAGTTACGGGATATTTGTAACAAAATAAATTAAAGATCTTCTCTTAGTAAATACTATCACTTCAGTTGCACGTAAATATGCAATCCGAAAAATGGGGAATCATATCTTGAATTAAAAAAAAAAGGTTCTATTGTAATTCTAAAAAGACGGGATCCTCATTATGTTTTTGCCCGTATCATCAAACAAAAGGGAAACTAAAACGCATTTTATACAAATAATATATCGAATATAAATCAATCTAGTCATTCTTTTTTTTTTCAATTATATACAGAAGATATAGTCATTATATACATAAGACATACATAATATATACACATAACATAAGATAAACCAATCTAGCCATTATATAACAAAAATATACATAAGATATATTCATTATATGCATCAAAAGAAATGGCCAAAAAAAAAAAGAAGTCAACCAAAGGAGCGTTGGAGGCTGCAAGCAAAAGGTAAAACAAAAAAAAAAAAGAAGAAAAGAAAAAAACCTTGTTCGATGGATACGCTCACTCCACACGGGTGTTGTACACTTTCAGAACTTAATCAGGGAGTTGCGTCACTTCTCAAACGACGAGAGTCCGTCTCCATTGTTGGACAAGCAATTTCGAGGTCTCATCATTGAGAGATGCGCCCGTCGCCGGTGCAAGAGCCACAAGCACTACAAGAATAATCATTTTTAGTGACGATAATTATTGTCACTATGTCGTCACAAAAAAATACCGTCACAATAAGAGGTATTATTGTGACGACATTTGAATATATAGCGACAATATTAGGACATTTATAGCGACAGTATTTTTTCTGACGACATAGCGACAAAAATTATCGTCACTAAAAATGATTATTCTTGTAGTGAAGCGATAGAAGTTCGAGGATTGGACGCCCTGTACAAGGGCAATCCGTCGCCGCCATCGCTGATGCCCGGAGTTGCAGCCGCCCCTGCTTTCTACCGGTCACAAATAGCGTCCACCAATTGATGTCTTCTTGAGGGATAAATTAGAGATGAACAAGGAGAATATAGAAAAAAGGAAAGATTTTTTAGAAGAAATGGGGACTCATGATTATCGGAAAAGGAAAAGACGAGGAGAAGAGAAGATGGAGATAAATAATTGGGTTGGTGTGGTGAGTGTCTGGAAATCGAGAAATAAGGGAGAAAAAGAGAAAGAAGAAAGGGAAACATAATTGATGTGCATAAATCGTATATTTACAAATATTTTGTTTTGGCTAGCGGATGCCCTTTTACAAATAAAATATTTTATATGTAATATTTTTTGAACAAGTCAGTGCGTAGTGTTGTTATCTCTTTATTTTAGTACCATTTCTATATTGGGTCATTTAAGAAAATGTAGGTATCATTTTTGAATAACTTTTGTCTTAAAACCAACAGTTTATCCCGTTTTGATACATAAATATAAAATATATATAGTACAAGTCACGTATGTAACATTGTAACCTCAAAATTAACCAAAAA